TTTGTTTGTTCCAATTTAAGAATTTTATTTTGTTTGTCTATTACTATTTGTTACTATTTTCATGTAACTTTTTTTTTTAATAAATTTGTAAATGCAAATTAATTCAATAAATAATGTTTATTTAAAATTTACATTGATTGTTTTCTATTCAGAATGAGGGGGTAATATCGACTTACGCAATAAATATTTTGGGGTAATGGTTAAAAAAGTTCCCCGACCGCTGGCTTATGGTAATCATATTGTATTTTTAATGCCGTTGCGCCTCGATTACTTAGGAGCTGAGAAGCGGCAAGTATTGCAAGCATTGAATGAAAATTTCAAATATGTTTCGCAAGTTAATTTGTAAAGTATGCCTAAATTATGTCACAATATCACGTATTGTTCTAAATTGCTTCAAGAATTATTAAAATATGTATAAGAAATGTATTGGCGTTTGAAGTTTGTAATTGACTTAAGATATTTGAGGTAATTCTCAGTCAAAATCATGCCGTCGTCAATGTGTTAAAGTAGTGTAATTATTGAAATAGATTACATTACCTTTTTGGTAATCGGCGTACACCTCGAAAGTCCTGACACCGGTGTATTCGGCCTTGCCACCTGCGTAGACTCCTTCCTGTTTATCGACCAACAACCATTGGTGACCGGTGAACATAAAGGTTTCGTTGTATCTGCGACCTTCGCCTCCATCCAACTCGAGGGTGGCGGCGGATCCGTAACGACTCACTCTCGCCACGTGCCATTGACCATCATCGACGGCCACGGCGCTCAACCAAATATCCTTCTCTTCCGTGCGCAGTGAATTCAAGTTGTATCTAAAGTGGAGACGCGAATCCTTGATCTCCAAGATCCCGTACTCCCGATTGTGCTGATCGGAAACGCGGAACAACTCTCCGTGCTCTTCGCGCGTCCTGAACCGAAGCTGGATCTGCGTGGAGAAGCGATCCGGCTCGAAACTGAGCGCGTATTTGACGTACGACTGCGGTTTGAAAGACGTCGGGATAGTTTGGATGGTGCAAGCAGGACCAGTCCATCCGGGTCTGCATTGGCATTTGGCCTCGTTGAATGATCCGACGCAGGTTCCGTGCTCCCAACAACGCGAGGTCGCATCCGATTTTCCGCAAACCTCTTCAGTCTGCGGACAACCAGAAACACTGTTCCTGGATAATCCAGGATGCGCCAGATCGTACAACTTCGAGTTGTGGAACAGGTTTCTGATGCATCCGTCGAAACCCTTTCCAACGGGCATGTATTGCCAATGGTAATGCGTCGGGTCGAACTGCTCCACGTACAAACCGCCAAGTTGAAGAGGTGCATTAACGTTCAGATACTCGTTGAAGGGAGGGATCGTTCCCTGCGCTTGGCAACTGCTATCATCAAAATCTGGAGGTGTTCCATCCTCGAGTTCCGCGATGTCCGCCGATTTGCAGTAATCCACAACCATACGAATATTCTCGGTGTCCCAGAATATATCCAGTCTATGCCACTCGCCATCATCCAAAGTCTTTTTAGTCTTGACGCGCAACTCCAAAGTTCCAGAACCAAAGTCGATGAGTAATTTGGGGTAGCCTCTATCCAATTCAACAGATATATAATCGGATACCAATTGTTCATCGGTTTCTGGTGGTACTATGGGACCGTTGTACAAGAGTAGTCCATCAGGTTTACGCGTGGCGAACTCAAAGTGCAGATGAGAGTTGTCGCACATCTCCAAAGGCGGATACCAAGCCCAACCGTTTCCTCTGAAGCTTCTCGAGGTTTGCTGGCATCTGGGGCCGTTGTAACCCGCAGGACACGAGCACGTCAACGAGTATCTGGTCTCGATGCAGCGACCACCGTTGTAGCACGGGTTGTTCCTGCAATTCTCTTCCTTGCTGAAGTTCCTAGCGCCGCAAGTGCATTCGGCCAGAACGTCGACGCGTACTCCCACCAGAGATGTCTTGTTCGCGTTCACCATGTAAGGTAAGGCGCTGATGTCGAGCGTGTTCGTGCAAGAACCTTCGCACATTTGATTTTCGTAAAGACACTCGTCGATTCCCACCATCGTTATATTGATGCCGACTGCCTTCTCGATATCCTCGCGATGCATCAGCACGATTCCGTTAAGCCGCACCGGCTTGTAATAAGGTGAGCCATGAGCTGAGAACCTGACATCGGTGACGGGCGGATGCTTCCTCCTGAGCTGCACGCTGAACACGTCCACGTTATCCCTGTGAGTGCTCAGGAGCTCCGCAATTTTATCCTTGAACTTCTCGGCCTTGCTCTTCGACAGACTCTGCGTCTTGTAGTTCCATATCCGGATGAAGTCCTCATCGGTGATACCGGCTATGCGCACCGATCCCGAATTGATTACAGCCTCGTGCGGGATCTCCTTCACCGTCACCGTCACATTTGCCGGGACGTCGTTCTGCGTGTGCTTCCTATCGTAGACCTTGAACCGTAAATGGTACTTCCCATCTCTGGTGCCGTGCTTCATCGACACCATCCCCGTATCTTCGTTCAACTTGAACCTGGGATGTTCGACTCCCTCCCAATAGAACTTCTTGTCGGGCAGATCCCAATCGTCCAAATCGTACACGTACACCCTGCCGATCTCCGTCTCCGGCGCTTGTCCCTGGTAATTGTACACGAATATCTCCTTCGATCCCGGCTGCATCTTGTTATCATTGACGTCTCCGATAACGACGGTCAGGGTGCTCGTGCCGGTCATGGCCGGATTGCCGTGGTCCTTTATCACTATCGGAATCAAATACTCCTTCTGCTGTTCCCTGTCGAACGACCTGAGCGACGATACGATTGCCATTCCATCACCATTAGCACCCTCTGCGGAACGGAAAGACCGAAGCGAAAGAGAGAAAACAACAAAAAAACACACAGAAAAACATTAGGAACAATGGGATTCGAAAAGTTTCCGGAAACGCAATTTATTCAACACATCATCATTTAAAAAAAAAAAAAATAAGGGAGAATCGATTTTTTTTTTCGTATATATTCCATACAATTCCACACAGAAAACTTTCGCATACTAAAAGTGAATGGCCTTTTCAGTTACAAGGTGATAAAGTTGTAATATTTTTATAGCGAACCCTTTCCTGTTTTACGAGACCGTATATACATTTTAAAAGTTGGCGTTCTCTGAGGTCGCTTTAAATTCTTGATTGAAAATTTTGCAAAGGTAAATCGAAAACTTATTTTATAGTTCTCGTCTGTAATCACGCGAAATTTCAATGCATATTACAAAGGAGAAGAACGAAGCGATTTATTTAAAAGTGGATGAAACTGTTTTCCTTTTTGCGGAAAATACGAAACGTTTTCTATTACGAATTCGCGTGGAATTGAAATTGGAAATATGCAGAATGTGTAGAGAGTTCATAATTTAAAGTTGCGTGGGGAGCGCGGATATCGAAAAGCATTATGTTTTGGAATCTATTCCGGTTTGGGGATGTTTTTTATCATTTTCGTTTAAATAAATATATATATACTTGGGTATATGTGTGTGTGTGTGTTGGGGGTGGTGGAGAAGTCGAGTTGAAACTGTTTTCGCGAAAGTTGGCAAAGTGGAATTGGATATGCCAAGCAGATTCCCACGTGTGTTTTAGATCAAAAGGGGGGGGGGGACTGAGAGAAACTCACTCTGATCCTGTTCCACTTTGAAGGAGGCCCGAATGATGTCGTCGGCGCCCGGGTCCAGCCTGAATTGGAACGGAGGGCCGTTGCTCTTCGAACGGTCATCGTCATCGGTCGCGAGGATCTCGACGACTTTACGGGGTGGCACGTGCTCGGGGAGAACTGGGCGGTAGTCCTTGAGGAAAGTCGGGGCGTTATCGTTGATGTCCTGCACGATGACCGTCAGAGTGGCGGTCGCCGTCTTCGGTGGGACTCCATCGTCGATGGCCAAAATCTTGACCTGATGGCGCGGAGTGTCTTCTCTGTCCAAAGAACGCTGAATGCTGACGGTGCCCTCCTGATTGATGGAGAACTGCCTCTTCCTATCTGAGCTTCTGTCGATGGCGTACGAAACCTTGCTCTTTCCACCTTGATCCGGATCTGTCGCTTTGAACGTCTCCAAACTCTTACCAACCTCGGCGTTCTCGTACACCGAAACCTCGATGTTGGGTCGCTCGAATTGCGGTTTGTTGTCGTTGATGTCTCTAAGCTTCACCACAACCCAGCTGTAGGCCACGTGGTACTTATCGTTGTCGTTGTCTTCACCCTTATCGTTCACCTGGATCCTGAACCTGAACCCGTTGCTCTGCAGAAGATCTTCGTAATCCAAAGGTTGGACAATCTTCAGAGATCCAGTACCATCGTTGTTGCGCACCATCGTGAATTTGTCGGCTCCGTAACCGCTGTTCTCGATCACCTTATATTGGAACTTATTGGTCTCATCCTCATCATGCACCGTCACCGTCAGAATCGGCATCTCTGGCAGATTAACACCATCGGTTTCATCCACCTCCGTGAACCACTCGTCCTTGGTGAACTGCGGCGGCATATCGTTGATATCTTTAACCCTTATGGAAGCCGTCCCGGTTCCCTTCAGACCTCCACCATCCATCGCCACCACCTGTATCGAGTAGTCCGGGGTGCGTTCGCGATCCAAGCAGCAGACGGCCGTTTTGATCACACCAGTCTCTGATTCGATCTCGAAGATCGGTGATCCTGTCTCCTCTTCGATCACGTTCTTCTCGATCGAGTAGACGAGACGGGCGTTCGTTCCTTCAGACGGATCGTCGTAATCGACTGCCGTCATCGTCATCACGACCATTCCAGCGGTGCCGTTCTCCGTCACGTTTCCAAAGTACACACCTTGCGGGAATATCGGCGCGTTGTCGTTGATGTCCTTCAGGTTCACCTGCACATCTGCATAACCCACCAAACCTTCACCACCTTCGTCCTGCGCGAACACAGTGAACCTCCACTGCGGACGTCCATTCGGCTGATCTCTATCCAAAGGCTATTCAAAAAAAACAAAAATATAAAACATTACAACTTCATTCATATTAATCACATTTTTAAAATAATACATTCAAAACTCACATAATCTTCAAAAATTATTGAATATGGACAGAAATGGACAACACAAATATGTGTTTATTTGCATATTTCTACAGTCCTTCGACATTACTTTAAAAAATAAAATATCATCTTTAAACCAAATATAGCATGAAAAATATGATCGGTTATACATGTATTATGTAAACAAATTAAGAGAGGGTAGATATACACGTTATGATAGAAAGCTTGCATATTTTGTCGAAGCTGCATTGTGTTGAATTTTTTTGCCCTTCGATAAATCATCAGAGCGTCCGACGGTAAAAACAAAAACAACGAAACAAAATCCAAGCAGAAACACAGGACGAAACAAACAAACAATATATATATGTATATAGAAAAAAAAAATAAAAAGTAGAAACTGGACAGAAGTATAGAACAGCACGATTTCAATGCGTTCGTCCCGCGGCGCTCTGTATAATTATACAACGACTGTGGAGTGCATTGTTGCACGAGCATATTGCAGGGAATCCGATTTTCAATTGCGATTTATAACTTTGTGATACATTATACCTCTGGAATTCTTTATTATGCAACAAAATAAATAAAAAAATAAAACAGCGGTAATGTATAGTAAAAAAACCGCAACAACAAATCTCTTCGTAAGCAGATTACAACTGTTGCAATTTCAAAACAACGTTCAAACTTTCCATTAATCTAATGCAATAATATGAAAACACGCGTATTAAATCTATTCAGCAAATCACTATAACGTACAATTTTATTACTACATTTAATGGAATAAAGCGATTATTGAAACTGTTTCAAAATTTAAACTAATTCCAAAATTTGATGATAGTCAACTAAATCGACATTAATTAATCAAAATTAGAGTTGTAATTGAAATAATTATAATAATTGCAAATGATTTTTTTACAAAAAACAAAAAAAAAATTGGTGACTAACGTGGGGCACTCTAAATTTGCAATAATAATATGAAAACACGCGTATTAAATCTATTCAGCAAATCACTATAACGTACAATTTTATTACTACATTTGATGGAATAAAGCGATTATTGAAACTGTTTCAAAATTTAAACTAATTCCAAAATTTGATGATAGTCAACTAAATCAACGTTAATTAATCAAAATTAGAGTTGTAATTGAAATAATTATAATAATTGGAAATGATTTTTTTACAAAAAAAAAAATTTTTTTGGTGACTAACGTGGGGCACTCTAAATTTGCATTTATTTTGATAATTCCCTTTGAAAATTTGCAAAAAAATATTGCTGCTGATACGAGATCTGTCAATGTTTATACTGTGAAAGGTTTCGGAGGGGTTGATTTCCGTTTCCGGGCATATTTGTTTTCAATTAAAACGTTATCTTTCCGCATATGAAATAATGTGGAATTGGATTACGCACCTTCAACACGAAAATCTCTCCGGTAGTCCTGTTGATGTCGAATTTGCTGTTCGCAGGATTATCCGGATCGATGCCCTGTCCAGTCAGGAAGTAAACGATGTTCTGGGGCCTATCCTTGTCGCCGTCCGTCGCCGTAACCTAAACGCACATCACAATTAGAAGACAATTACGAGACAGAGTGTAACCTCAGGTATCCGAGCGAGCGAGCGAGTGAGCAAACAAAACCCCGGCGACTAATTATGACGATTGTAATCCAAGATAGAGTTAGAAGCGGATCCCAAAACAAACTTCTCCTCCTCGAAATGCCTTTGACCGTTCCCTCAAAGGCATTCCAGAAATGCTGGTAACAGGAACGGGTGGAAGAGGATGAGGATGAAAATCCTGTAGTAACGAGGGATAATTCCGAAGGAACGCGATGTGCATTTCCAATTTGCAAATTGATCAATCGCGTCTCGCATTCATCCGGTCGAGGATTATTTTTTTCCACCCCAATACGAAAAAGTTGTTTCATTTTTTATTTTTTTACAAAACCCATCGTTCATTCCATTCAATTCGTCCGCGCTTCCAATTATCCGGACAAGTGTATTCCATTACGATCTGAGAACGTCCCTTCATTAAAATCAATCTACAAATTGGAAATTGCGAACAAAAAAAAATAATCCATTTGGAAATAAACTCACCCCGTTCTTAGGGATGACGGATTCGAACGTTTACTTTTACAAAAAAAAGAGAAATAAAAGCAATAATAATAATAGGGACCATGAGGCCGGAAGGGCTCATCATTCAAGTGAAAATGGGAAAAATGCCGAATAAAATATTGAAGTTTTACATTGCGGCGGATCGGGAATTGGCGAGATGATGAATGGAAAACTGCTCAAATAACACGTAACGCGTTTCGAATCCTTACAAGAATGGACGAGGAGGATGAGGATATTGATTGCATTTCTTTAGTGCAATTTTCAATGTCTGTATACGAAAATAATTTCATCGAAATTTACCAAGTTTTGCGGTAGACATTTATAAATATTTAAATAAATAAATAAATAATGTATGATTCGGGAATCATAAAATAAATAATGTTGCAAGTTTCAGAATTGGATTTGAAATTATTTTGTTAACGAATCGAATTGATTAAATTCGCATCGAACAATAGGTGATGGAAATATGCAAAATTTAGCCCGAAGCTTCGAGTTCTGCTCTGCCCTTTGTCACATACACGTTTAGGGAATTTCGCATGATATTCGAGAGGACAAAATGAGCTGTTTCTATAAAAGGATAATGCGATGCGGTTACAAGTAATTGCCATTAGCGCTCGATTGCAGATTGATCCCGAGCCTCCGGCACTCCCAGAATTGCACCAACATTATTATGATCATCATCATCATCATCATCATGATGATTGATCGCACTTGAAACGTTTCAAAGCAGTTAACGGACAAACTTTAATATGCATGAATATTTTGGACTTTCCGCTGAAACATTAAATCGATTGAAAACGCGGGAATGCGAAAATTCTTCTCACTTTTCCTCTCTCTCTCCCTGTCTCAATAGAGAACAAAAATTGGAGAAAGCGGCAGCAGCGAATGTCGGAAGCGGAAAACGCTTAGGAAAGGGCTGATTTATGGAAACGCCGGACACGGTGATAAATATCTTCAGGGCAGAATATTTACTAAACAATCCGACACGTCTCAATATAGAGGAGACACGGGACGACATCCATTTCGAATGCGACACGTCGAATTCGGGATGAGTTGTGTAACCGTATAAATCCTTCCTTCTCCAACTTCTCCATCAATCCCATTCGAAAAACCTCAATTAAACTCTCAACTCACCAATCTAATCCTTATACAAATATTACATTTTACTTCCATATTTAATTTGAGTAAACTGAAAACCATATAATCATTTTTTTTTACATGAATGTACTTTTAATAGAACAAATATTTGATATTTGCAACTAGAAATTTGTTAATTTTATTTCCAATGTAGCAGAAACGATTGCCCAAAAAGTTTGCATTAAATGGAAACGTTTGGATTTGATAGATTCAAAGCTTCGATTTTACCGCTGAAAACGCACTGCGTTTGATGGAAAAATAATTGGTTTCGTTTGGTTACACGAAAATATTTAAATGCAACAACAACAAAAACAACATAACACGTGATGGGTCTATAAAAGTTAAGGGATGAAATAGTGAAATTCCATTGATTTCAAGTAAAAAAAAAATTGAAAAATATGATTGATTCAAACAAATTACTAGTATAGAAGAAGATTGGATTCAATAGATGGATTTGAACATAAAATCTTATTGGTTCATTGAATTATTACTAAAAAAATCTAATTTTTTGAAATATTTAATTTGTGTGTTTTTAATTGCGAAGTTTGATTAATTATAAAATAAAGTTTCGAGTGTATTGTGTAGAAATAATAAAATAAATCGAATTTATTGAAAATTAAAATCAAATTTAGCTGTTTCGGAAAAGTTGGTAAAAAGTTTCGGTCTTAATAAAAAATAAAATGGAATAAAAAAAGGGGAGAATGGGACAGAAAATTGTGCGGAAAAATCGAAGTAAAAAAAGTGATTTAATCAATGCAAAGTGGAAGAGAAGTTGTAACAATTTTTAATATGACGAGTGAACCGAGTTAACGAAGGGAGAGAATCAAAGGGAAATCGAAATATAAAAAAAAAGGGACGAAAAAAAAAAGGGATGGAACAAACAAAAGGAATACGATTTTAATAAAGCGACGCCGCTTTCTAGAACGAAGTGGGTTTAATATAAAATTTGCACAACGCTGAATATTTTAGTTGGATGAGAGGAGGAGAGGGGAAAGGACGAAGCGTCGTTCATTTGTTCTTCTTTGTTTCCGAAAGAGCTTCGAAGTGTCCGGCAACCGCACACTTCGAAATGCAAGTTTGTAATTGCGTTAAATGGTCGAGTTTCCGCGCGATTTCGACAATTGCGAAATCCAATTTGGAAGCTTAGCTCTTAACGGATTGGCGAAAAAAACCGGAATAGATATGAAAACAAACATGATTTGGATGTTTTCTCTCTTGTTTTTGCTTGATTTTCCAAGGATAATCGTATTAAAATATTATTGCCAGGAATATTATCGATTGAATGCATTAATAAAATCTTAGTGGAGCAGAAGTTGAGATGCCGAAAAACGTTCGGTTTCGAGCTCCGGAGGAAATTAAATTTTCATGAAGCAGCTCCTCGGTGTTATTGAAGAAAATTTTGTACTTCAACTTATCTATATTGGCGCAAACCTATACACGTACACACTTATGTATACATACGCAGTGTATATAATACTATATAGTAGAGGAGATCCGAGCAAACGGCATTTCAAACTTGCCAATATCATGCCAAGTCGATTCGCTGCAAGCGCCAGTGACAGTGTGTGTGCACTGGCGCTTGAGCAGAGTGAAAAAACTAAAATAAAATAAAATAAAAACACGCAGAGAAAAGAAAAATGTTTCAAGGAAAAACAATTTCATATTGGAATTATAAAAAGAAAAAAAGGAGAATATGAAAAAGCCTTATTTGCATCGGGTAGGTGGTAGTAGTAGTAAGTAGGTGTAGTGCACTAATTCGCTTCGGCAAATTTCCGAATCCATTTAAAGCCCTATTGGCTCTGCGGACGCAACTTCCCAGCGAACCGAAGGATTAAAATATTAAAGGCGATTTCCGTCCATCAATTAAACCGTCTTTTAATAAACCTGCATAATTTCGCTGAGCTTAGTTCAAAGTTGGAAATACTTCTTTTTTTTTTCGAAAATAAACTGCATTCAGCAAGAAATGAACCCTTTAGAAATATACTAATTGAAAGTGGACAATGGAAAAAACAATTTGTAAAATTTTCTTGCTTTCACAATTTAATTTAATTATTTTTAAAAAATATTTGGAATTCTTCTGACTTTGGTCATAAGTTAACTTCACTTTTCTCCCAATATAAATCTTGTAATACTGTGACTATAGCAAAATTTGTATGTTTTTAATTAGGAAGTTTGATTAATTATAAAGTAAAGTTTCGAGTGTATTGTGTAGAAATAATAAAATAAATCGAATTTATTGAAAATTAAAATCAAATTTAGCTTAAAAGGTACGCTGTTTCGGAAAAATTGGTAAAAAGTTTCGTTCTTCGATTTAAGGTCATAAGTTAACTTGACTTTTCTCCCAATATAAATCTTGTAATACTGTGACTATAGCAAAAAAAAAAAAACAAGAATCATGAGAAAGGAAGAGATGAATCATATAAAAAATGGTATGCGGAAGGGAACAACAAACGGTTCTTAGGGGTTCGAGGAAGAATGGGATCGGATTGGAGTAAACACACTACAAATTTCCGGCGTGTCGTTTCGCTTCGCTACGAAGTTTCTCGTGTGTGTGGGGGTGAACCTGTGATATACTTTTTCACCTGATGACGCGACTCGACCGATGATAAATCGTGTCTGCTGGCGTCGCGACGCTATTTGGCGCCGCGACGCCCGATAATAGTTTGTTTGCTCACCAACCCTGTCGGATAAAATAACGCACACAAAAATATAATAATATCAACATCAAACAACAACAACAACAAAAAAAACATGTTACCTTTAGCAAAATATTACAGTTTTTTTTTCGATAACAAAGAAAACATGCACCCTAAACTCATTCCAAATACAATCAATCATTTGAGAAACAATATATAAGAAAATCTAATTATTTTATTATATAAAACTTTTATTTCTCAAATGATTCGATTCAAATGAAAAGCAAACTATTTAAAAGTAAATTACATTAATTGTACTAATAATAAGCTAAAACTAGTGTTAATTAGGAAGAAAACCTTACCTTCTTTTCGAGTAGGCTGATGTTTAGGATAAATGAAGAATTGGATTAATGTAGTTTAGGATTAGCATGTTTGATTGGATTGGTGTAGAATAATAACGAATTTGCCGTAATAATTGATTATTACAACATTTTTTCCTGAATTTAATTTGAGCGAATTTCGTATTCCACTAGATTTCCAATTGGATTCACGTACGAGAATATGTGTTTTCTTTTCAATATAAATCAATATTTGATGTAGCTTTCGCAATTGAATAAATATATCGACGATTCCCTTCGGATTGGCAATATTTGCGTAGGTGCAAAATCGCTAATTGAGGCGAGAACACACCGTTCAGGATTAAACGCAAACATTGCAAGAAGATCCGCGTTATTATTTGCGCAAAGTAAATCTTTTCATTCTTCTCAAACCTCCCCTATTTTACTATTCGTTTGTTGATCGGATTTGGGGGTGAGTGTTTAGTGATGGAATTGTTAGTGTACGATGAAGATCTTTTGTTGCGAGCTGCTGACCTGCATGAGTTTGAAAGGATAGATTCCGTCCAGCTCCTCGTTAATGGTCGCCGCGTAGAGGGATTGCTTAAAGACGGGTGGATGATCGTTAACGTCCTTCACGTGGATCACCACACGAGTGGAGTTCTCGTTCAGGCTGTCCGAGGCGACGAGCGTAACTTCGTACTACCAACAACACAACAACAAAAAAAAAAACATGCATACCAAAACAAAAAAAAACAAATACGAAAAAAAATCAACTGCAGTACGTAAGGAAAACGAGGTGGTGCAAGCTAAAGTAAATCACACAACAACAACAACGAAAAGAGAAACAAAAGTGCTTGTTTTCATGGGACACCCGCCTGTAAAACCCTCTTGGGGAGATTCCGGTCGTCCTCCTCGGTGATCTGCGTCCGGTAGGTGGGTCGCTCGAAGACCGGAGGATTGTCATTCACATCCTTGACGTGGATGACAACCGTGGTGTAGTTTTCCTTCAGGTTATCGGAGGCGGCTAAGCGCAGTTCGTACTGCACAAGATAATTTATTACATATTGGAGGCATTGTTCCATTATCCGGATTACGCGCGCAACGTGATTTAGAGGGCTGAGCGTAATAGTGGCGGAAGCTTCGATAATCGATAAATATTGTATTAAATTTTGGGGGCGATGGTGATGGTGGTGGTTGTTGAGTGCGACGATGATGCAATAGGGAAAGAGGAGGTGTTGTATCCTCGCATCGCAAATATGCACACTGCTTTGGCTGCGTTGATGGTGGTAGTAGTAGTAGATGTGCACTTACCCGTTTCCGCGTTTCATAATCCAAAGCCCCGGCGACGTAGATGGCACCCGTCATGTTCTTGACAGCGAACGCACCTCCTATGTTACCGCTTGTGATCTCGTATCGAATACGAGAGGCTGAAACAAAGAGACAGTGAGAACTTGTCACTACTGAAAATCCTCCGCAACAATACAAACACACACACACATCAACATCGAAACTCGCGCGGGGAGCAAGGAAAAACGATCCCCCTTTTCCGAACTCTTTATATAACTATATATACTATATAGACATCATCCACCCAAACCCCTCTTTGAATTTCATCCGCGCTGCGAAACGGGAGATCCTGCAGCAGCGCGCCTCCTATCATCCGCTCGCATCCTTGCACATGGCTTGACAGCTTAACTAAAGATTGACATATTTGTCCTTTGTTTTTCCATCCATTCATTTTTTATTTTTTACACACAGCATCCTTCACAACAGATACACACAACGACAACAACAACAACATCAAAAACTAATCGAAAATAAATATCTTTTCTTTGGAAATGTGTTCACTTGCACATATTGATATATAAACTAGTGATCCAAGTATATTATTATCCGTTATACAAACATGAAAGTCTATGTTTATTGTTTTTACAAAACATTGAACACAACACCGCTCAAGTTTATTAACTATTGCTACTCAAATTCATAGATTGAATATTCCTCGTACATGCATAAGCAGTGATTGTTAACAACAAGTTTCAAATAACTTAGTTAAAACTTTGATAATATTTCTTCAATGTTATTTAATTTCGTGAATTTTTGCAATAAATTTCATTAGTATTAATATAAAAATTACCATATTTTCCAATTAAATCTAAATTGTAAAAAATCTTGCAAATTTTACTGTTTTCATTTCAATATTTAATACTAAAATTTATGGTATGTATTTAAATGCATTCAGTCGTATTGCATTTTCATACGAACTATAAATTATTCATGCTCATTTTGAAATGCGACAGTAATAAACTCAGCAAAATTAATTACACAAAGATTGTGGAAATTTCGTTGCATTAAACAATTAAAAAAATATTTCTAAAAATGTTTACGAACTTCATTTTTACAAAGATTTACCATTGTATTAGCAAGATTAGAATATTAGTATTTAGATTTAGTATTAATGAATTATGGTTATATTGAAATATGTAATAATAATGTAATTATACATTGAACACAACACAGCTCAAGTTTATTAACTATTACTACTCAAATTCATGGATTGAATATTCCTCGTATATGCATAAGCATTGTTAACAACAAGTTTCAAATAACTTAGTTAAAACTTTGATAATATTTTTTCAATGTTATTTAATTTCGTGATTTTTGCAATAACTTTCATTAGTATTAATATAAAAATTACCATATTTTCCAATTAAATCTAAATTATAAAAAATCTTGCAAATTTTACTGTTTTGATTTCAATATTTAATACTGAAATTTATGGTATGTATTTAAATGCATTCAATCGTATTGCATTTTCAAACGAACTATATATTATTCATGCTCATTTTGAAATGCGACAATAATAAACTCAGCAAAATTAATTACACGAAGATTGTGGAAATTTCCTTGCATTAAACAATTAAAAAAATATTTATGAAAAATTTTATGAACTTCATTTTTACAAAGATTTACCATTGTATTAGCAAGATTAGAATATTAGTATTTAGATTTAGTATTAATGAATTATGGTTATATTGAAATATGAAATAATAATGTAATATTAATACATTAATTAATTGATAAACTTCCTTTAAAAATAATTCCTTTAAAAACAGCAGAGCGCCTCCTATCATCCGCTCGCATCCTTGCACATGGCTTGACTAAAGATTGACATATTTGTCCTTTGTTTTTCCATCAATTCATTTTTTATTTTTACACACAGCATCCTTCACAACAGATACACACAACGACAACAACATCAAAAACTAATCGAAAATAAATATCTTTTCTTTGGAAATGTGTTCACTTGCACATATTGATATATAAACTAGTGATCCAAGTATATTATTATCCGTTACACAAACACGAAAGTCTACGTTTATTGTTTTTACAAATATGCATTATACATTGAACACAACACAGCTCAAGTTTATTAACTATTACTACTCAAATTCATGGATTGAATATACCTCGTACATGCATAAGCATTGTTAACAACAGGTTTCAAATAACTTAGTTAAAACTTTGATAATATTTCTTCAATGTTATTTAATTTCGTGATTTTTGCAATAACTTTCATTAGTATTAATATAAAAATTACCATAGTTTTCAATAAAATCTAAATTGTAAAAAATCTTGCAAATTTTACTGTTTTGATTTCAATATTTATTACTGAAATTTATGGTTGTGCATAACATATATTTAAATGCATTCAGTCGTATTGCATTTTCATGCGAACAATAAATTATTCATGCTCATTTTGAAATGCGTCTTCACTATATAAAGTATATTATGTTATGTAATTTCGTCATTGTTGCAATAAATTTCATTAGTATTAATATAAAAATTACCATATTTTCCAATTAAATCTAAATTATAAAAAATCTTGCAAATTTCACTGTTTTGATTTCAATATTTATTACTGAAATTTTTGGTTGTACATAACATGTATTTAAATGCATTCAGTCGTATTGCATTTTCGTGCGAGCTATAAATTATTCATGCTCATTTTGAAATGCGTCAGTAATAATAAACTCAGCAAAATTAATTACACAAAGATAGTGGAAATTTCCTTGCATTAAACAATTAAAAAAATATTTATGAAGATTTACCATTGTATTAGCAAGATTAGAATATTAGTATTTAGATTTAGTATTAATGAATTATGGTGATATTGAAATATGAAATAATAATGTAATATTAATACATTAATCAATTGATAAACTTCCTTTAAAAATAATTTAGAATTTTAATAAATCTCATTAATAATAGTTGCATTGAAATATTGAAATCAATAACAATTAATTATACAAAAGTTGTTGGAATTTAATATTCATAAATTAAACAAAATAATCGAGGTAAATTGCACGAAATGGAATCATTCTCGCACAATTAAAACTCTTTCAACGTATCCGACCTCCGTAATTATTTTCGCTCTGCTAAATTAAATTTACAAGCAAAACGAGGAAAACAGAAAAAAAAGGAGAGTAAAAGGAAGGAAAACCAAAGAAAAAAAGAAGCAAACGCAGAAAATCCAACAAGCGAATCGAATCTATTTTTACGCGTAATGAGTTTTCCGATCGGCTCGAACCGCCACAGGATCATTATTGACGCTGCGATTTAATTTAAATTCGAGCCCTTTCAACCCCTGCCTCTCTCCCATCCCATTCCGAGTATTTGGATAAGTCGGGGTGAAATGTATTAAAAAGTTAAATAGGGTGGTTCGAGAAAATCGAAATGCAATATTTCCCCAGTTTGTGGTATACATTTAAATACCGTTTTTTTTTTTAGTCCGTGTTAAAACGTACACCTTCCACCCTCTCTCACACCCTTCCTCTTTACGCTTGTTTTATTTGGGTTTCCGGGAATATGTTTGAGGTTCTTTGTTGGCAATTAACACTGGCTTTGTTCGGTGGGGATGGTTGGTTTCCCGTCGGGGACTTGGATTCTCTAACTAGTTCTCTCTCCGAGGGTAATTCTGTACACAGAATCCTCTCCAGTTTTGACGTCGGGGAGCGACGGTGGAAGCGCCGGGATCAAGGATATCTACATATATATATACATTGGCACGGAAGGATGGGAGCGATGAGTTTCGAATGCGCTGGATAGAGATAGAGTGGTTTTCGAGTAGGAGAGGATTTAGCAGATCTTCCCTCTGCATCAGTTCTCTTCTCTCCATCTTTCTCTCATCTAGCAGAGGATCACGGACGTGGGGGAGATATCAATTTAACACATGTTTCCCTTAGGTGCCACATTTTTTCTCCCCCCCGACTAATTGGTAATTCGTACTCCAATGCAATCTCCATATTTCCGATTTCTTCTGCATTATTCAAGCTCGGAAGAAGACAAATCTTTCTGTGCCTTCCTCCGCACTTGATTTGTTGCATCCTTCGACCTTCTCCTTATGCGGTAACATTTAGCCGTACGCATCCATAAATATTAACGCTTTTTTGAACAAACGACGTTCTCAAAAGTTTCCACTCTTCTCCTCGTCGTCATCCCACCACAAATCATCACACTTTTTTACGACTTAATTCGAAAGTTATTTATGGTCTCTTCTCGAGCAAGAAATAAAAACTTTACTTATAGCGCATTTTCACATCAAACGCAATTTTATTGATAATACAACAATTTGTAAATTTATCACTTCCTTAAAATATACAAAATTCAATTGGAATTCAATTGGAATATCTTTAAGTAAGAAAAAGTATAAAAAAAAATCATAAAATCTTTGAATAATTCGTCAAAAAGTTTTAACAAATTTTGAGGAATTTTAAGATAAATTATGTATTTTTTTTTGTGTGTGTCAGAACATTTAAAACATGTATAGAACTCCTTTTGGCTTCTGTCCTTGAAGCGCGATTAAGATGAAGCATGCGAGATTATTAAGATTAAGTACGCCGAAAGTTTGGAAATTTCAATGAATACGTAAACACTGTACAACTTTCCCGGTTGTCGCCTTAATCCGAGAACGAAAGGAAGAGGCGAAGACAAGACAAGAGAGACACACTTTTCGAGCAACGAGATTCGTCGTTTTTCCTTGAAGAAGATTAAAATTCGAATGAAAAAAAAAAAGACGACGATGAAGAAGCCTCCCCTATTTTCGTATCTTCTGGCCGGAAAATCACTGCTCCGCAGAGTCTTTTCATTTTCCAACCCTCAACCTGTTATCATCTTCGAAGGTCGCTCATTTAACGTAGCACCACCTGCCTCTCAGAAGCCCGATAATAGACGCGTAATCTGCTTAAACTCAATTTCGAATACAAGCTGTTCAGGCACGTTCCAGACTTAATATAATAACCCAAAGACCCTATCCTATCGACGATTAAATCCATCGAAAAGAGGAGACACCTACACTTTTACCTCATCTATTTTAATTGCTTATATAATCGAACGTGTGAAGAAAAGTAAAGAAAAAAAACAGCTT